TTATAATTTTATTAATGGTAAAAATTTAATAAGAAATAATTTTATAGTGAATTTTATACATTTAATTAATTTTTTTATTACAATTTTTTCAAATTTTTATATTGAATCGTAGTAACAAAAAAAAATTGCAATTTTATTTATTGTTATGTAAGTTTATTAAATATTATTTAATTATAATTGCATTATTAACAAACTTGATAGTATTATATAATTATCAAATGATACAAATTGGATTAAAGCTTAGACATATAATTCATTAATAATAACTTTGAACATATTCAACAGCAATTTGGTAGTTTAATTATATGATTTGAATAAGTATAATTCATATTGAATATCTAATCATAAAAAAAACAATATTGATTTTATTTAATTTTATGGTTTAATGTAAAAAATCAAATATTTTCGATATGTATTTGTTTGAAGCATAACCGAATCTATTCAAATAATAAATTTCAACTTCGGTGATTATTCTCTATTTATTTTAATATCAAGTGGGTATTTTTTAAATATAATTTTAACGAAATGTTGTCAATTAGATTTTTTGTTAAACAACTTTTTATTTCACATTTCCTCTTATATCTTTTTTATCGATGGTTGACAATTTTTTTTTAACTAATTTAAAGGTAGTATAAAATTTCACTATAAATACATCAATGACGAACTCCTTGATAATTAAAAACCAATTTTAATTCATATTGAATTCCTCAAATATCAAATCATTCGGTAAATTCTAATTACATATGCTAGTTAGATTTACAATTATTATCGAATTATGCTAAACATTTAATAGGATATTGTAAAATTATTTGATTCTGAAATAACGATAATTAAAATTTTTTGTATAGGCTTACACCAATATTTTAATAAATTCCAAGAAACAGAATATACAATAGTAAAAAATGAAAAGAAAAAGCAAATAACCTGAACTAAAAAAAAAACAATTAATATTTTGCAAAATTTAATTAATAGTAATAGAATAATAATAAAAATAATAAAAATAATAATGGTAATAATTAGAATAAAACTAATATTGGATTACTCGATCTATTAAAATTTTATCGTACTTAGTTTATTTTGTTGATAGCCAGTTAGGAATCTGAAATAAAAAGTAAAATCACATTCTCAGGCTGGGTTTATTAATTATGATAAATACAATAATAAATGTTTTGAAATTTTTAGTTGCTTGCCTTTAATACGTTCTGTTGAATTTTTTGGCTCCGGAAGATTTTTAAAGTTTAGATGTCTACCGGTATATACTGCAAGTGGATGCATCTGTGCAGCATCATGGGCCAAAAAATTTGACGGAGTATAGTCGATTTCCGTAATTTGTTTAGCAAGTGTTGAATAAGGATAACTGCTATATCTACGCCATGCATCCAAAATATTGCATAGTTCATGTATATTAAATCGATTTTGTGGTTCGGCATCCCAACATTTTTGTATCAAGTAAGTTACCATTTCAGGAATGTCGGTAGGAATTTTAGGCCGAAATCCATTGCAGATTTTAATCGCCAGATCATTATCGTGCGGAACATTGTGAAATGGGAAAATTCCAGATATCATTTCAGATATAACAACCCCAAATGCATAAACGTCTGCCGCTTCAGTATATTCCTTTCCACATAAAACCTCTGGTGCTATATAAGGAAGCACTCCATACACTTTTGACTCTTTACCTTTATCATTTGTATATTCAGATATTGGTTTAAAATAACCGAAATCCGTTAAATAAACCAAACATCCTTTAGCTAAAAGAATATTCCCAGCATGAAAATCTCCGTGAATTAATCCAGCATCATGCACTTGACGTAAGCCTTTTGCAATTTTAAATAAGTTATTGAACTTATCCGACCATGCCTTTACGTAATGTCTACATAGATTATTTCTAATATTTTCAAAAGTCATATATTGCATGACAAACATGAATCTTTTTGTTTCTTCGTGTCGAGTGATTCCATAGATTCTCGCGATGCGGGATCCTTCTCTATAAGCATAAATTTTATTTCTTATCTAAATTAAATATTTATAGTATTAATGCACGTTTCTTACTGAGTAAATGGACATACTAAATTTAATCATACATCAATAAAAAAAATCATTTGCGCAATACCAATAATTACCTCATTTGAAAATTCGTTGATTTTATCTTGTGAATAATCAAGGTATTTTAGTGCAACTTTTGTTAGGCGTTTTCTATCTCACTGATTTTCTCTTGCATTCCAACAAAGAATATTTCCCTTGGTCCATTCAGCCTTGTATACATCTCCAAAAGCACCTTTTGCAATAAATTTTATATTCTTAAAATTTTGATACGGAATCCACTCGAGTATTCTTTGTCTACAGGTTGCGGTTGTCTGCAATTCTTTTATAAGTGCATCAATCTTGCCGTTTCCACTTGTCCAATTATCAAATTCTTGTTGAAAACGAAAAGTCTCGCAAGGTTGACACCAATAAGAAGTCGGTATCATTGAAGTACATTGGTTGCACCGATATTCTATAGTAAAATAAATTAATGATTTACAGTACATAACGGCAATACGGTATACGGTATTTGGTATTTGACTTACCGGCTATATAAAATATTAGATACGTAATTGGGATTAAATTAATATGATTAATACAAATACGTATCCCGAATTGACTTACATACTATAAAATCCGACGATTAATACATTAATTCATGATTTATAATTTTACAAAGCAAATAAAAAAAAACAATGCTTTGAATTCACAATCCACTATATGATGGTAAAGAATGATCATTTTACAAAACGAATAATGAATATCAAAGGATAAAATATGGAAAGCCCATTAATATAAATCCGCTAAATCAAATGACAATGCACTTTAAACTTTACATACCATCTACAATATAAAAATAATAATGTATAAGCCAAATCTCATTTCGCATTATTTTACGAAACCAATATTCTGGATAATGACTAACCATCTATAATATTAGAAATAAGAAAGCAGTGCAACTATATCTCATTTCCTATGATATTATTGAATATGCTGCATATTTGACTTACTATCTATAAAGAATAAAATAAGATCAAACGTGATTATACAAAACAAGATAAAGCGTTCTTGAGACAATTTACTTGCTATAAATTGATGCCAAATCTAATTAGATCTCGATTCACGAATCACAAAGAAATATCCATGATTCAACTTACAATCTATAAATATCACCAATTGTTATACTTTATCTTGTTAATTTTCTCAACAAATAAAGAAAATATTCTGGATTCAACCTACCCGCTAAAAAATCAACATAATTAATCACGTTTATATAATGATTACAAATGAATTATTTGAATATTTTAATTCACTTACAATCTGCAATAATATAAAAAAATATAATTAAACCACACTTCATATGATTTCAAAAATAATTGAAATATCCTGAATCAAGTTACCATCTACAATTGAATTGTAATTCATAAAAATATACTCAAAAAAAATCAAAAAAAATTTTAATCGACTTACAATCTATAATAATAGAAAAGAATTAAATCTCATACTATACATTTTTACTCAATAACAAAATATTATGGTTTAAACTTACAGCCTACAAAAGCATGGAAAGAATATAAACATGATTAAATCCCATCATTGGCTTGAATAAATCGCGTAAATAGCACGATCCATCTTACGTTCTACAACAGTAGATAAAAATACGATTAGAACTCATGTAATGTAATTTTGTCGAAATTAACAAAAAATTCATTTAATATAATCTTTGCTTAGAAATCTAGAAATAGTAGGATGAAACATACTATCTATAGAAGCCGATTGTTATGATTAAATCGTCTTAATATAAATTTTATGTAATTTTATGCAACTGTCACAAAATCTCTTGAGCTTAACTTACCATCTACATAATAAAAATTCAATTAATTACTATTTACTCAATGAAAAAACATATATCCTGGATTGAAATTACCGTTTACTTAATAAAGAAAGATACTGTCAAATCACATTTTATATGAATTCACTCAATATGCAACAAACATCCATGATTAAACTTATTAGACTACTTGATATCATTTTGAGAAATGAATAATAGAATAATTACCAAGAGTTAGCATACACCCTGTAAAGGCTAAAATAAATTGTGAAATTATTTTAATATTCAAAATAATTAAGAGAATATCCATTATTCAATTTACTGTCTACAAGTATTAGAGTTATAATTAATAAGAATTTAAATATTTCACGTAATGGCTCGGTTAAGTTGTATGTGAATCCATGAATAACCTTTAGCCGCATCTATTAATTCTTTCGCATCTTCGGAAATCATATCTATGCAGTATTAGTATAATACGAAAAAATTCGAATTACCAAAATATATTGTATGATTTTTTGTCCGACCTTATATAGTATCATAAAAAATTTTAACATAACCTTATTTGGGTTTGTGTTTCATTGCATAAGGCATTTGGATGGCTATTGTATCACTTTATTATATTATAATTATAAGGTCTTTAGAGTTATTTAAATACGATTGCGGACGGTAAGCATAATCGAGTAAATTTATATAAATTGATCTGAGCTGTAGGATTGAGTTAATCAAAAATTTGACATTTTGGACGAGAACATGTTTGACCGACATGTGATCCATGTGATTGTCGCGCAAAAACGTGCGATCTGAATTTAACAATTGTATAATCCACCCGTCATAATTTATTTTAATGCATCACCTAGTTCTTTTTGTGAAGTGTATAATATACGTGAATATTCGCCATATAAAAGTTCATAAACTTCCCCTCACGATAAACATCAAACATCACTTCTATCCTTACTAGTAATACTTTGACGTTCGTATCTAAAAAAACAAAAAATTGTTTTGTAGGCGTAGTCTTTAAAGCATGTATTGACAACTCATACACTTACGTGCGAATAAACGAAGACTTTAAAAGGGAGATTTTTAATGTTGCACGAATCAATGGTAACACCATATTTGATACGTAGGTGCCTTCGCTCAAAAGAGAATGCCTGGATGTCACCATTATAGAACCTTATGGTGGGAAAAGGGCGATTTCCATCAAAAAGCAAATTGGGAAGAAGCAACGTAAGTTCCTTTTCTACTTGTTTTAATGCTGACAAATCATTTTTATGATCTAGTGAGATAAGGCCAATTTTGCTGCTGAAATCAAGACTTCCGTACACACTTGCTGTTGGTGTTTCCTTGGATGAATATGAACGGCGTTCGGACAAGTTTAACGTTCGTGGATATTGGGAATGGATCGATTATAAGGTCATCATTTATGAACTTCCATCAAAGCCACACGAAACTCTTATTGGTGCAATCTCTACGGAAATCATAATGAGTTGTAGTCCTGTGCATGGAACTGATGCCAGTATCGGGAATCTCTGTGCAATCCGTAAATATTAATTACTGTCAGCCTTATGTTCGTGATATCAAACAAATCCTTTTTTTTTTCTTAAGAAACTCGCGCCGACAATTCTGTGAAAGAAGCGGATTCATGTTTTCGCCCTTCAAAACCACGAGTGCGGCCGCCAAATGGGTGTGATGGACAGGTATATTATTTTTATTTTATTAACTCTAAATTTTTCAGAGCTAATATTTCATATTTTCACGATTTCAGGATGAACCATGGCCGAATCTCGTCGTCGAAGTGGCGCATTATGAGAGTGAAGAGCATGTCCTGGAAAAAGTGAAAGATTACTGGTTAGGTAACCTTAGTCGTGTTCATGACGCGATCGTTGTTAAGATTGATAAAGTACCTCTAGGTCAAACTCCTTTACGGATGCAAGTAAGTTATATTCATTAAGTGCATATGATATTTCATTGAATGTTTGTCATTTTAAAGAATTTAACCCGCACTAGGCATGGCATTTTTGTGTCAGTGACAGACCCAGAAGAACAGCAGATATCCAATCTCGGACTTATGTAATGTCATAAACAAACAATAATAATTTTTTAATCAATGTCTCAAACTTCCAACATGATGGATTTTTAGTTTGAATTTGGTACCCATGACCAATATGGGAACTCGACAAATATTATACCAGGTCAATGTGTCATCAAAATTTCTTTGGATTGTTTGTATCATGATGCATTTCCTAGAATCACGATTCATCGACAACTTCTCCCGGATCTAATTGTATTGGATTTTCTGCTAATCCGAGACGAATTCCTCCGTATGTTTGAAACCAGATAACAAAAAGGAATATCGTGGAATATAATGTGTGTGCAAAGGTAATAAGGGTCATGCGTACAAACTTCCAGATAGCTAAGCATTGGATTTTCTACGTGTGTAATGAGGGTAATACAGCATGGGTTTATTTGAGATCATCGTCCGAGCTCTACTCTGAAATATTGAAACCACAATCGCGTTTCCGTCACGGTTTTTTTTACGGCTATATGTTTTCTTAGCAAAAGGGTATATATTATTGCAGTAAATGTACACCCAGAGATGCATTAAAAAAACTTGTCAACTATATCATCGGAATATGAAATTGTGAATAGTCTGGAAATAATATTTTCAGTGCATGATATCCAATGGAAAAAATTAAGTTGCTTTGAAATTATATATGTAAATGACATGATAATTATAAGGTATTATCCCTGAATATCTGGATTGGTCTTCCAAATTAATTTGATTTGCCAATTACTATATCTGATGAACTTCATTTTAGGTTATATAAAATATATATGAAAAATCTGAGCTTGATTCTAGGATAGAGTCGGAAAATCTGGAACTTCCATAAATTGAAAAGACTAGTAATTGTATCTTACAGAACAGTTTGATAGAAACTCGGGTAAAGGAATAGCAGGTGAATTATCTACGTATATTTAAACAATAAATTCCAATTTCTTCTACCAAACAAAGCTAAAACATACCTTTAACATAATATTTATTTTGATTTTAATAAATCAGTACTTTATTATATATATATATACTGTATAATAATAGGAAGATTATTGGAAATTATACAAAGGGTTTTTAGGCAGTAAATATTGTGGCGAAAAAGCCTATCACCTCTATTGTTATATAAATAAATATTAGAATTCAATTTCAATAATAACAGTGAAAGCATAGACTACTTATTTCGAATATTGATGGCATTTACCAATTCAAGTCAATATTCATTATATAATTTGGTAGTATAATCAACTTCTTTCTGATAATCATATTTATCCCACACATAATAAATAAAAATTGTTATTTAATTTTTCAACTGATGAATTGAATTAATATTCTCAAAGTATTTAATGGAGTTTTACTTTATGATATATTTGTAAAATACTAATAAATAAGTTAATGCTTAATTGGTGAATGATAAAATCGATTTTGATTTATATTTAATGTCTCAAACGTCAATATATATTTGTATTGATTTATATATATTAAAATAAATAAAATAAGTTATATTTTGAATATTAAATATGCACAAATATGTGTAAGTATAGATAACATATTTTATTAAATATATAGTAGTCACCACAATAATAAAAATAATAACAATCCCAATATAACAATAACCATCAAAGGCCTGTGTCTTTAGACATTTTGTTGATGCTCCAATTTGAAATCTGGAGTTAAAAATAAATTTATTGTTCATCTGTGGGTTTAATATTATGGTAGTAAAATCGAATTTTTTAAATTTTCAGTTACTTGCCTTTGATATTTTCCGTTGAATTTTTCGGATCCGGAAGATTTTTAAAGTTAATATGTTTACATGTGTATACAAACGGCTGCATCCGTGTGACATTGGGGATCAAAAAATTTGATGAAATATGTCGGGTTTCCCTAATTTGCTTAGCAAGTGTTGAATTTCGATAACTCGCATAATTTTGCCATGCATCCAAAATCTCGCATAGCTCATCTACATTAAATCGATTCTGTGGTTCTGCATCCCAACACCTTTGTATCAAGTAAGCTACTGATTTAGGTATATTAATAGGAATTTCGGGACGGATTCCGTTGCATATTTTAATTGCCAGATCGTTATCGTGCGAAACATTGTGAAATGGAGGAATTCCTGATAACAATTCAGACATAATAACACCAAATG